AAAAAAAAAAAAAAAAAGAAAAAAAAGCAAACGAAAAGTAGTTTAATGCAAGTAAATAATATTTGGCTACGTCAAATATTTCATCAAAATAAAATATAAAGAAAAACACTACAAAAAAAAAATACAAAAAAAAAACATGCGTAAATACCAAATTAAAGAAGCCAATTTTCGAAGTGAGTTGTTAGATACAAGAGACATGACATCCAAATTGACTACATGACATGTCACATGTGCGATATTGAAAGCACCAGATCTTGATGCAAGACATTTCGCTTTCTTTAAAAAAAAAAAAAAAGATCAGCAGTAATTTAATCGAAGGAAGTATTCACTGTTAACGGGGTAACTGGATTACCTGGCGGTTCATGCAGGAGTTTTCGATGAATTAATATCTTTCAGTAAATGTTCATGAACACGGCTTCTAGCCGCCGTTTCAATGAATTAGTTTACGTCATTAAACTGACATAAATAAACATGTATAAATTAATGGATTTTTTTTCTATGATGAATGCATGGCTTAAATACCAGTGTTTAATATCATTTATATCAGAATATCTGCGTGCACACATAACTGGTGTCAAATACAAGAAAATATTTACAAGTTTGTATATTGTATAGAACAATTTTTTTTAAGATAATAAAATTAGAACAATGGCAAGGAAGTTGACAATAGCGTGAAATATCGGCCTATTAGAAGGCATGGCCAGTGAAATATTGGCCAACTAGAAGGCATGGCGAAAGTTTAATGGCAGAACTACATTGAAAATATTTTACATGAAATTCGTAACATCTCGTTGTAACATTTGTATAATAAATAAGTTGAAGTTGGGATGAAATATTAAGCTAGAAAATAATGATAAAACAAAACAAATGGATAAAAATACTTTAAAAATATGTATGATCGCATGCTTCAAACCATATACAACATGCGAATTTAGACTAAAACATAGAATTAGGTGTGGTACTTCAGTTATAACCATATTGTTGTACGATTTTTTAAAGCAAGCTGGTTTGTTTTTTTTACCCCAAAATCCTAGACAGTTAGGTTAAAGTGATGGATAACTTGAGAAATGTTCACATTTTTTTTAATTTAGTCAGGGTTAATGGTTAAAATTTCAATTGAAGATTTTACCCCCCCAAAAATAATTTTTTTTTTTTTTTAAAATCTTTGGCATATTGTCGAAATAATTTCGTCCCCAAAATGACGTCATGTAACAGTTTCGTATTTTTATACGATGAGAGAGTAAGCACCATCGGAGTGAGACAAGTCAAAGTCATAGTTGAACAAAGAGACAGCACCATCGGAGTGAGACAAGTCAAAGTCATAGTTGAACAAAATAAGATTAATACTGACTATTAGGTTCATATTCAAAATGCCTTATACAAAAAATTAGTATTAAAAACAGAAGAAAAAAAGCTTCTGTGTAGCCTTGCAAACACTTATGTTTACGTTTATCATGCAAAATATGTATGATATTTCTATACATGAGTTATAAAAGGGAAGAAAATAGCGACTTATAAATTGTATAACTGTAAACTATTGTAAGGGTCAATATGACCTACAGTAAGAACAGCAGACATGCTGGATTACAATCAAAATGTCATTACTGAAAAGACGGAGGCGCTCTCCACAAAAAAATAAGAATAACTCCATCCACACAGAATAAACTTTCTTTTTAAAAAAACTCACTCCATTTACTTTCAATGTGTTGTAAGGTCTTTTGTCACTTTTTTTTGTTGGTTTTTTTTTTGGGTTGATATTTTGGTGGTTTTTTTTATTTCAGTGTCGGCGCTTCGTTGTGCTTATTCAATGGGGGGTGCCGGGGTAGGGGTGCTGGTCCCGGCACAGTAGCAGCCAGACGTGATGCGTTCTTTCCTGGCCGTCATCACGGCGAGACCATCCCGGCATGCGCCTCTCTCAAACACGGTGACGTCAGTCCGGAGTTTCATGCAGCCCCGGGCATTATTGCCGATGCACGTGCTACAGACGCATTCCACGTCAAGGATGTATCTGAAGAGAAGAGAATCATAGTGGGGTTTTAAAAATACATTTTTAATTGGGTGTTTGTTATTTTTAATCCTATTTTTTAATGTCATTTATAGTTCTTATATTTCGTAAATCATTAATTTTAATGAAATATAGTTATAGTGAACTGTTTAGTACATAATTATTAATGTGGTTAATATAAAGATTATAAAACCTCATTTTTTTAATAGTCATGGTTTTATTAGTTTTTAATTAAATTTACCTGGGATACGTCGATGCCCCTAGATCCTTAGTGAAGTACACCCATGGGCAAGTAGATTTCAAATTGTTCGGTGCTCCTGGCCACCAAGATCCGCTTTCCAATGGACACTCGCCCGGAGTGGGTTGATTGCCTGGGACGGTGGGTACGTCTAGCTGCTGGGGGAGCCCGATGAACGCAGACGCGTTGGGCAGAAACGTGTTCAACTCTTGGACCAGCTGGGGCAAGTATTGGGGGATGGGGCAGTTGACGTCGCGCCTGTGCCTCAGGAAGGGGTTGCTACTGTCCGATGCGGAGACCTCGGGAGTTACTGCCGGTGTTTTTCCTGCTCGTAGGCTCGATGCTAAATCTGTCAGCGGGGAGCTGAATGTGTCTACAATGATGCTGACGAACACGGCGAAATTGAAGGTGATCTTCATCCTGGTTCTTTAAATTTTTAATATATCAAACTGTTTTAACTGTATGCTTGCTTTGATAAGAAGCACAAAGTTTGTTGACGTTTATATGCCGAGTGTTACCACGCTGTGCAGTTGAATATCCCAGGTGATATCGCTCTTCTGGCAGTGTCTATGTCTCGTTTGACTCCACCAGCCAGGTCAGGGGGTCTTTTATACACCTGGCTCGACCTACAGGCACAGGCAGGTTAGTCCCATGCTAAATCTGATCCGGAAGAAAAAACGACTCCAAACTACTAGCCACACTCATTCTTGAAATGTTTTCACTTTTACCTCTATCTGAATACAAAATTAGTATTCGACCAATAGCAATGAAGTGGTAGGCTATCGTAAGAGAGGTGTTTTCCAAAAGGGTTGGGGGGGGGGGGGGGGTGGGGTGTAGACGTTATTATCTATTGGGGTCGCCGCTACTTTCGACCATCTATCTGAATACAAAATTAGTATTCGACCAATAGCAATGAAGTGGTAGGCTATCGTAAGAGAGGTGTTTTCCAAAAGGGTTGGGGGGGGGGGTGGGGTGGGGTGTAGACGTTATTATCTATTAGGGTCACCGCTACTTTCGACCAATGAGAAGAGAGAATTTAATGGATTTTTTTTCTTCTCATTGATCAATAATACTATTCAAACGAGGCTCTCAAATCGAGGTGTTGTTGTTTTTTCATTTATTTTTTTTTTCATTTGTCCCTTCTATCTCTATTAACATTTAGGCCAAGTGAAGAGTTTACGCAGCTGAATTAGGAACATAATATTATGGGAAGATTCCTAAAGGAAGATATTAGGAAGCAGAGACCTGGGGGAAAAAAAGGGGAGGGGCGGTGGATACATGGGAAGTGTTTAAGGTGTTTAAGGTGTTTAAGCTGTTTAAGATGTATTAAATAGGAGCTATTCACAAGGAATAATTTTACAAGGGTCATTTTATTGGGGGGGGGGGGTGAATATACTTGGACTGGTCATTACATTTGATTGACAGGCAAAAGACGCAGGCTCAATTTACCGTGAGAAAATTGTTAAGGGAATTTAGCTGTCGATGTCAGCAGAACTATTATAAAACGAAAACGTACTGGGTACATTCTCTGCTGCATAATTAATCATGAAACAAAAGGACGTTTGATAATAATTTTATTTAGACGCAAGCGCCTATCCCAGATTATCAACCCTCGTTTCCGGGGCGGAATGTGTGACGCGTATGGAAAGAGATAGGGATAAGGATATTACATCTATTTTTCCCATATCGGATCCTTAACATGGGATCAGCTCGATGACGGGAAAAAAATAAGTTTGTGTGTACAATAGTTAGCAACGCGTCTTTAACCAAAGCCATTCGTTAGGCGTTACTGAGACTCATCAGTGTACACACAGTGTACACACTTCATAGCAAATAAAGGACTCAGAATTTTATTTGCATGTTATTGCTGTTGTTGTTATTGCTGTTGTTGTCGTTATTGTTGTTGCTTTCGTAGCAGTAATTGTTTGAAGCCGTTGGGATGGTGCGATGGGATGGGGAGGGGGGGAGAGAGGGGCGGGTGGGGAATTTAAAACAGCTAAGTTCAAATACAATCGAAATCATCCTTGCCATCATCATATTCCTCTTGGTATTATTCCCTAAGCAAGAAATCAATAGGGCACTAAAACTAAGTTTGTTTAGTAAGAACCAATCAATAACGACCCAATTAAAACACAAATGGTGTGTTACATTACCAGGATCGTGTGTACATTGCCATTGTCTCATACGCCTCTGTTTCGTTTAACTGCGTATGCCAGCGGAGCTTTTAGTCGTTTCACGAAACTCTTCCATGTGTATCAGACTTTGACCATCCTTTCCGGCTCACACCAAAACGATCATGTGTCTCTGACTTTGACAAGCATTTCCAACTCACACCAAGACGTCCATGTGTCTCTGAATTTGACCATTCTTTCCGGCTCACACCAAGACGTCCATGTGTATCAGACTTTGACAAGCATTTCCAGCTCAATCCAAAACGTCCATGTGTCTCTGACTTTGACCCCACTTTCCAGCTCACACCAAGACGTCCATGTGTCTCTGACTTTGACCATCCATTCCGGATCACACCAAGACGTCCATGTGTCTCTGATTTGACAAGCATTTCCAGTTCCCACCAAGACGTCCATGTGTATCAGACTTTGACCATCCTTTCCGGCTCACACCAAGACGTCCATGTGTATCAGACTTTGACCATCCTTTCCGGCTCACACCAAGACGTCCATGTGTCTCTGAATTTTACCATTCTTTCCGGCTCACACCAAGACGTCCATGTGTATCAGACTTTGACAATCCTTTCCGGCACACACTAGGACGTCCATGTGTCTCTGACTTTGACAAGCCTTTCCGGCTCACACCACGACGTCCATGTGTCTCTGACTTTGACCCCACTTTCCAGCTCACACCAAGACGTCCATGTGTCTCTGAATTTGACACCACTTTCCAGCTCACACCAAGACGCCCATGTGTAGCTGACTTTGACAAGCCTTTCCGGCTCACACCAAGACGTCCATGTGTCTCTGACTTTGACCCCACTTTCCAGCTCACACCAAGACGTCCATGTGTCTCTGACTTTGACCCCACTTTCCAGCTCACACCAAGACGTCCAAGTGTACCTTATTTTGATAAGCCTTTCTGGCTCACACCAAGACGTCCATGTGTCTCTGACTTTGACCCCACTTTCCATTGTGTCTCTGACTGGGACCCCACTTTCCAGCACACACCAAGACGTCCATGTGTCTCTGACTTTGACCCTATTTTCCGGCTCACACCACGACGTCCATGTGTCTCTGACTTGGACCCCACTTTCCAGCTCACACCAAGACGTCCATGTGTCTCTGACTTTGACCCCACTTTCCGGCTCACACCACGACGTCCATGTGTCTCTGACTTTGACCCCACTTTCCAGCTCACACCAAGACGTCCATGTGTCTCTGACTTTGACCCCACTTTCCAGCTCACACCAAGACGTCCATGTGTACCTTATTTTGATAAGCCTTTCCGGCTCACACCAAGACGTCCATGTGTCTCTGACTTTGACCCCACTTTCCAGCTCACACCAAGACGTCCATGTGTCTCTGACGTTGACCCTCCTTTCCGGCTCACACCAAGACGTCAATGTGTCTCTGACTGGGACCCCACTTTCCAGCACACACCAAGACGTCCATGTGTCTCTGACTTTGACCCTATTTTCCGGCTCACACCACGACGTCCATGTGTCTCTGACTGGGACCCCACTTTCCAGCTCACACCAAGACGTCCATGAGTCTCTGACTTTGACCCCATTTTCCGGCTCACACCACGACGTCCACGTGTCTCTGACTTTGACCCCACTTTCCAGCTCACACCAAGACGTCCATGTGTCTCTGACGTTGACCCTCCTTTCCGGCTCACACCACGACGTCCATGTGTCTCTGACTGGGACCCCACTTTCCAGCACACACCAAGACGTCCATGTGTCTCTGACTTTGACCCCATTTTCCGGCTCACACCACGACGTCCATGTGTCTCTGACTTTGACCCCACTTTCCAGCTCACACCAAGACGACCATGTGTCTCTGACTTTGACCCCACTTTCCAGCTCACACCAAGACGGTCATGTGTATCTGACGTTGACCCTCCTTTCCGACTCACACCAAGACTTCCCTGTGATGCAGCTACGCTAACATGCCATTAGCATCGAGCGTTACATGGTTGGCATATATGCTGTTGCATTCATTGTTTTCCTTTCTGCCGTCCTTGGAATCCACTAGATAATTATTTTTTATTTTATTTTTCAATTCACTTCTTTGTTGTTAATTTTTTTTTTTTTTTTTTTTAATTGTCTGTCGGATGTTCCTATAAGTGTTCCGATATATTTCCCTGTTCTACAATATCAACTTCCTTGTCTTTCCTGTTTTTCAAATTCTAACTCATATCATTTTTTTGTTTTTTTATTTACTTTTTTGCCGTCCTTGGAATCCACTAGATAATTATTTTTTATTTTATTTTTCAATTCACTTCTTTGTTGTTAATTTTTTTTTTTTTTTTTTTAATTGTCTGTCGGATGTTCCTATAAGTGTTCCGATATATTTCCCTGTTCTACAATATCAACTTCCTTGTCTTTCCTGTATGTCAAATTCTAACTCATATCATTTTTGTGTTCTTTTAATTACATTTTGCAACATTACACATTTTCACAGGTGCAGAGGGCAGGGGACAAATGGGTGGGCCTCTCCGCCAAGAAAGTCAATTTAATTTAATTTTTTTTTTTCATCTACTTTTTTGGGGGGAGGGAAATCTTATACTACAATGGTAAAACTGAAATAATAATTAATGAATGGAGTATAGAATAAAACAAGACGTCTCAATTTAAAAACATTCTCAATAAGTCGTAATGAACCCAAAGTGTTGAAAGTAAGGCTACTTTATATTTCATCAATAAATCATGAAAGGGAAAAAAAATGGAGAGAAGAAAATCCATTAAATGTGTTAAAAACAAATTGTAGAAATATATATAAACATATTTTTTTTTTATTGTGGGTGTGGGGAGTACTACAAATTAATTGAGCAAATACAACACGCCAGTACACTTGTATGACAGCTGGGCTGGAGTTTCTTATGGTGATCAGTTAGAGATCTTTCTAATGCATACATACAGACAGACGGACAGTCATACAGACAGACAGATCCACGTTTGAATTTTTGAAATAGTTTTGCTGCGAAAAGATTGAAATCCCGGACACTCAATGGG